ATATCCCGTTTCACCCCCCCTGGTCCCAGTGGAGTAAGCTCCGCCAACTGTTGAAATATACTCTACTATGCTTTATAAGAGTATTCGTGGAATTTTTCCCAAAATCGTTGCACAACACTTGAAAAAATGCAAATGAAAATTTAAAATTATTTCCATGACACCCCAAAATAGCTGCGTCAGTATACTTTATCTGAAGTCACTTGAAATAGCATAAAAACCTTTGGTCGGCGCGTCCTTTGTAATTTCATGACGTATCATAGGCGTGCGGTCATTTATTTAGAACGATAATAATAATGTTTTTATATCACAATAAATGGATTTTACTATCTTCTTATTTTTTTGATTTGGGATAAAAAATACTTATATTGGGAGTTTAATTTATGTTGACTGAAAGTTAAGAAATGGAAAAATTACAGAATTCCAACGCTTGACATAGGCAAATATTTACATAGCAGGTAGGTATATAAAAAGGTATATAAAGACTTACATTATAGGTATTTATATATCATCCTCGTCTTCGGAGCTGTCGCTAGAGTCATCTTGTAGAGGAATTACAACGGAATTTACAGGAGGCAAAACACAATATTCATTTTCTTTTTCAATAATATGCCTAGAACACTGCTTCCATAGGTCTGTGGCAGCAATATGACATACTGCATCTCTTATTGTGGCCAATAGCGATTCACTTAATTGAGGGGTCTGATTATGTTTTCTTACTTTTTTTTTTAAAGCAGCCCAGACCAACTCAATCGGGTTAAAAATGCAGTAATAGGGAGGTAGACGTAATACTTCATGGCCATTTTGCTGAAGCAGATTGTCAACAACATACTCTTTTTTAAATTTTTGTCTTTTAATAAGATCCAATAATATGGCTTTGGTTGATTTTTGTGGTATTTCCATTCCCTTATCCTTCATAAAATCAATAATGTCTTGTTTTTTTGTGCCTGTATTCGGAATTTTGTTTTTCTGTCGGGAATGGTATGGCGCATTGCCCATAATAAGCACTGAATTTGGGGAAATGTTTGGTATTAACTGCTGCTCTATCCACTTTTCAAATAAGTCGGAGGTCATGTCCTCATGATAGTCGGCACATGATTCTTTGATATTTTTGGCAGATAACAGCAAGGCATTAGGTATAAATCCATTTTCACTGCCAGCATGGAGAATAATGATTCGTTTTCCACGGTTGCATGGTGCATTTAAAATGCACTTGTTGCTGTCGTCAACCCAGCCGTACTGCACAACATCATGGGTATCATACCACGTTTCATCCAGGTAAATCAGATTTCTTTTCTGCTCTCTATAGATTTTAACTTTGTGCAAAAATTCTTGGCGCAATTCAACGATTCGAGACGACTCCATAATCACCATTCTTTTATCTAATTTTTTGTATTGAGAACCACACAGTTTTACAATACAGTGCAGTGAGTCTAAGCATTTGTAATTATAAAAATCTTCAGGATAATCTTTTAATTTATCCCGTATCATTTCCAACGTGGGCACCAAATTTTCTTTATAAAATCCGTATATTATACGACGAATATCTTCCTGAAAACCCACGTCTATTCTTTTTAATTTTTGCCCTATGCGCTTTCTGTGGAAGGAATAGTTACTACATCTCCCCTTTTTATAACCCGATAAATGGTAGACCGACTGATTTTTGTCAGGATACAAATTCTGTTTAAAATTTGATTTTGCGAGGAATCTGGATTTTCGTTTTTCAGACAATCATACATATTTAGGATTACTCTTTGGGTCTGTTCCTCTAAATCTTTATGAAAGAATTCTGCTTGCACAGGTTCATCAACCATCTCCTCGTGGCTTGGAGCATTTTCCCAAGGTATCCGAAGAGCCATATTTAGGACACACAAGAACAATCAACAGAACAATTAAATCAACAAGTAAACTGAGTATTCAAAAGTCAAAAACACACAAACTAATAAAATCTATGAAAAAACACGGACAGACTAAAGAAAACACGTTTATTCACCGCTACACGGCACTGGCTAAACTGTTTCAATTTTCAGTAGCCACCTGCACTTGTTCGGAGCTCTGAAATACACGCTTTCTCATTGGCTATGTCCACGCATAGGCGTGCTTTATTCCACGTGGACCCGTGAAACTGCCTTTGATCTTATACGGCGGATATTTGCTGCGAAATTTGGCGATTTCTGCAGCAACAGAGCGTGTTAAATATAGATATATAAAACGCACCCGGTATTTCACAGTGTTTCAAGTGACTTCAGATAAAGTATACCTCGGGTTATACATCTTGACAGTAGAGATGTTCGATACGATCCTATATTTAGAAGTATCAATACATACACGAGTATCGTTATCTTTCGATCCGGAGTGTGTAAGAAAGAGTGACTAACTTTAGTGTTCTTCTTTTTTTCCTTCCGCTGGATATCGATAATTTTATTCCAATATTTTAGAGTATCGATACTTCCTAAAACGATAAGAATAACGATACTTTTCGTGGATCTAAACATCCCTAATCTTGACAGCTTGTCGTTCTTGTCAACTGGGCTGCAGGGTGCGGTGTTGCCTTTACTATCTTACATTTTGCTAAAAACTTATGACAAATAAAAGCTTCAAATGAAATATTGACGAATATGAATGGATATGCATAGAATTTAGAATATAAATTCATATTGCAAATTTCAGATTGTCTATGCATGGACTTGAATCGGATTGTTCGGTATATTTACCGAAAAGAGAATATTTACCGATAACATCATTCTAGACGATTTTTCAAAATAATTTAAATATTTCTATACTTGCCGAAGAAGAGCTGAAACCAAAAATTAAGCTAAAAGTTAGTTTCATTTAGTCTTCATAGTTTTATGCCCCATATCAGTCATACATATTCATACACACCCAGGCAGCCGAGCACATGAGAGGGGTAGATTTGGGTTGCCTATGACTATGAACGCACAACCTCATCCCTAACTCCGCTTGCCCTGACTTGAGTTTTGTGCATACAAAAGGTACAGACTGGTAGATTACCGTCATTACCTCATCACCGGACAAGCAGTAAAGAAACCGAAACCTGCCTGTTTTCAAAATAAATATTTAATTAAAATGAGAGGTGTGTTCATGAGTTCAAGGGTAAAACAGAATAATATATACAATACTATAAGCAAGAATCGAAAAAGGAGTTTCCAGAATGGTTGCAAAGTACTTTGGGAAAACGACATTGTAGAAGTTGTAATATAGAACTATTCCCTCAATGCGCGCCCAATACAATAACAGACGTTTTTCATGACTCAAAGGTCCTTGATCTACCACTGATCTTGGAACGGCATTTACCTTATACCGAATTCAACGACACTATTTACCGATTCCGTTTTTTTGCCGGTTCGGCAACACTGCAGATGTGCAGATCACTTTAATTTAAAAGCAATTGATATCCCAGACGTGTTATAATAATAGAAATAAGAAAACAAAACAATGTTTGGAGATATGTTTTCATGAATAGGTATTTTTGATTCTGATTTATATCTAGAGTCTAGACCAGAGGTCCCCAAACTTTTTTGTGTCGTAGACCCTTTGCCATGTTTTTCCGTGTTGGGTAGACCCCCTACTTACCTGATATTGATTGCCTGTAAATTTCTAACTGTAGTGAAGTTTAGTGTTAAAAACTTAAAGTAAAAGCACATGTTAATTTATACATTTATTAATTGAATTTAAATTAAAACTACTCAAAATAAAATTTTGTATCTGTTATGTAAAATCTACGTAACATTAATAAACAGGTGTCTGACCAATAAGTGCCCGCATTGGGAATAAGTGCCCGCATTGAAAAAAAAATAAGAGGGATAAAATAAAAAAAGTGAAAAATAATAAAAATAAAGTTTTTTACTTAAAATAGTACAATAAGCGAGTTCGTTTATAAATTATAACATAAACGTATGTTCTACAATAATTTCGCTGTTAGTTTAATTAAATTCCGCTTCTTATACGTTTAAGTTATCTAAAACTAGGCAAAAAATTAACGAATTTTAGTGTGTACCTATCCTTGAATTTTCAGAATAATTTAAAAAAAATGTTTTCTATAAAGGGGGGTTCTTTAAAAAAATCAATGCGGGCACTTATTCCCAATGTGGGCATTTATTGGTCAGACACCAATAAACATAAAATAAACTATAAATAAAATAACATAAGCAATAAGTCAATATTTTTAGTGAGAAGGATGAACCTGATGCTTTAATAATAATATTATCAACATTTGGCGTCAATTTTGTAAGGGTTAATCTTAAATCTCCTTGGCTAATGATGTCCAGTCTGTTTCTTTTTTTCATTAGGAGATTGGTAACAGCGCTGAACCCCCTTTCCACTAGGTTTGACGATGGAAAGCAAATTAAAAATTTCCTCGCTATATTCCATAATACGGGATAAGTAACGGGTATGTTGTTTTGCAGCCAGAATTGCTGATATCCGTTTTTAAACTGAACCTTAAGTTCTTCGTTTGTACTTAGTTCAGTCAGTTCCTCTTGTATTATGACATTCGTTTCTTCTATGTCACCATATGGATTAATTATCCACGGTGGTATTACCATAGTCAAAATATCCTCAAACCTAGATTCAAAATCTGAATAGAGGGCATTTAAATGTTGAACGTAAGTTGAAACGTCGTCTTCCTGGCAGCTTGTCTGTGACAAATTGGGGAACTGAGAAAATACGCCCCGTCCAATATTTTGCTTCATTAGTTTAACTCTGGCAAGAAACGATGATAAGATGGACTTTGTTTTAATCAAATTTAAACTGTCGCCTTGTAATTGCAAATTAACCGTATTAAATTTTGTAAACAAATCTGTTAAATAGGCGACGTCTGTTTTCCTCTTCATTAAATTTTCTTTTAAAATTTTATCTTTAGTATCCAGAAATTCTAAAATAGCCTCAAAAAGTGCAAAAAAAATTGTCAAACATAAGCCTTTCGACAGCCAGCGTACTTCAGTCTGAAGGAGTAATTGATGAAAGTGTTCGTCATTTTCTTCACACAACTGCGCAAATAACCGCGTATTCAACGCGTTGCTTCGGATTCGGTTTACTGCATCAATGACCAAATGAAGTGATTCATGCACTCAATTTTTTTTTTAGTAACTAAATGTTGTCGATGGATGACGCAATGTATTGCTAACACCCCTGACACATTTTGTTTTAAATAGCTTATAAATCCACGATAACGTCCAACCATGGCAGGTGCTCCATCTATAGCTACTGATATTGTATTTGATAAAGGAACTGCTTTTTCAATGAAGTAATCCTTCAAAACATGAAATATTGATTCACCTTTAGTGTTGGTTATCAAAGTTTTTGCGAAGAGCAGTTCTTCGTAGATTTCTTGATTCATAATAAAACGAACATATGCCAATAATAATGCTGCATTATCAGGTAAAGTTGACTCGACCAGTTGTATAGAGAAATGGGTCGTTTGCAAATAATTACATAAGAAGCTTTCAATATCAGAACTCATTTCATCAATATGTCTTTCAACAGTATTGTTGCTTGAGGGAATTCTTTTAATGATATCAGATGCAGGTTTGTGTAAAACAGTTTTTAAAACCTCTTGAACGGCTGGCAAAATTAACTTCTCTCCGATAGTATGCGGTTTTCCGGATTTTGCTATAAGTAACGAGATATTGTAAGACGTCCGCAAACCATCATCATTTCTTTGTGACGTCGAAGCGAACATTCTGTTCAGTGTAGGTCTCTTCTGAAATTTATCTTTGAGTGTTTGAAAGTATTTCAAATCTTTCTCTGTTTTATCAGGGTAGCATCTTCTCAGATGATCTTGCAGTTTAGATGGTTTCATAGCGGCATTGCCCAAAACATTGTTGCATAAAAGGCACATAGGCGATTGGTTGTCCGGCAATGATGGAATGAAGCCAAATTTCAAATAGTCAACACTGTACTGTCTACATTTCTTTTTAGATTCGGACATAGCATCAGTCATCTGTGGCCAAAATTAAATTGTTTAAATAAGACAGAAAATCCAGCAGCTGTATATTAAAAATATTATGATTTTGCCGAAAACATTCCATAATTCGAACATCTTGCAACAATTAGCTCGAATTACGGAGATTGCACTGTAATTATATTACCGATTGCTTAAACTTTCAAAAAGAAACTATTGAGAAGTACTTGTGTAATTTTGCATGATTGAATATTTAACTACTAATAACTAAAGTCATGATTGGCGTAATTTATCTATCTCTGCTAACTACGAGTACAAAACTAAAATTTAAAAAAAAATAATGTACTTACTTTTCTCCAGCACTCTCAAACAAAATAACGCTTACTCACTATAATTTGTGTGATATACTTATCTGTTTATATTTTTTAAAATATTTTCTTAGCACTTTCCTTTTCAAGATTCAGGAAACGAATAAACGTATTTGTCCCACATTCGTATTTATAGAGTGACGAATTGAACAAGTCAGTGCAAGGTAGCGAAGCTCTGAGACTGCGACTCTCAAGTTTTTACAAGTTCAAAATGTATTGCGACCACAAAGCGAATACCAACATCCTACAACTTACACAATTTTTATAAATAATGTATATGTTTTGATATTATAAGATAGTACGATGTAAGTAAATAGGTACTATCAGTGTATGTGTTGAGATCCACTATCGTGGACCCTCATATTCATTTCATGGACTCCAAATTTTTTTCGCTGACGTGAACCTCTTGCAGGTTGTATAGACCTCTAGGGGTCGATATAGACCACTTTGGGAATCAATGCTCCAAACCTTCCATGACGACAAACCAAAATTAGCAGCAACTTTTCTAGTACTTGTAGTGGGATCATCTTCAAACGCTTGGAGGATTAGATCTTCCGCTTCGGGAGGATATCGACCTGGATTAACACCAGGTTCATTACGTGTTACACTTCCAGTCTCGTAAAGACGTCGGTAAGTATTGTAAAGCACTCTGAAATTAGGCAATCTTCTCCCAGGAACAACCATCGTGCTTCTAGACCATTGCATCTGCTCTGCCATACATGTAAACGATATCTGCGTATTCTTCGTTAGTGAAAGCGGCCATTTTACAAACTAATTAATCCAGGGTTTTTGGGCTGAAATTTATAAATTACTATTGACTTGTTTGGAAAGCAATAAAGGAAGAATGTGTGGAATTTAGTTTTATCATGCACGCAAACACGTTCTCTTATCAGTATCTCAAAAACAGAAAAAAATGTATTTATTATTTGTTTACAGTCAATTTGTTTTTCTTTTCTCTACCTTCAGAGAAAAAACCACACTGTTAAGTATTTAAAAACTATTTCATATAGCCAGATGTTCTTTCAGTGAAAACAGGAACAAAAAGCATATTTTTTTTAAATAAAAATCGAAAATCTCGGATAACTCGAAAACCGTACGACTTTGAACTAAGGCATTTTTGGCTTAAACGAATTCCAAACGGTCTGCCCTATCACCTCCCTAAGACTTTGTATCGACCTTCCAAACACCCTGTATATGTATGTGAATGTGCCTGGTGCTAGTGATGGACGCCTTTACTTATCTTTGGGCAGAGCCAACCTAAAGTTGATGGTGGGACTGATGTCTGACCATAACATGTTAAGGCGCAACCTGGATGTGATGAAGATCCCAAGTGTGAAAGGAAGAGTCCTTGGCGAATGTTTTGTGTTACTGCGACGCTGTGAGTTACTTCAGGCAGACAATACTGGCGTGCAATACTTTGGAACCCCAGAATGTTAAGGAGCCGGAACTGCTATGCTCACCTTCACTAGAAGGGTGGAGCTCGAGGGTTTGGGAATGTGTTGGCCGGTATACCTCTAATTTCGTTTATTCGTTCATCCCTTAAACACTTGAATGTCTTCAGATTCAGAAAATGCTTTTTGATACATTGTTTTTCGTTTTCCCAAAGGAAACGATCGAAGACCGATCCAAGATCTAAATAAATATACCTATAGCGCTTGTCTTGAATCTGTGGTTAGTAAAATATTATGTCAGATTCACATATTGGGCAAATGTAGGCCAACACCAATGTGTGATTGCTAACGTTGGCGTTGAATCGTATCATATCATGTTGGCGTCAACGTTGGCTGCAATGTGTGAATGCGACAATAGGATATGCATCGCCAGGATGAGCTTCTTAAATAACGAGTGATTTTTAAAGTGCCTTCTTTTTAAAAGTTGAATAAAACAGCTAAAAATGCATTGCGTATACAAAATCTTTATTGAAATCGATAAAATGGTTCTTGCCATTTACTTTTTAAAGATTACTTCATGCAAATTTTGACCACGCCTACATTTCAAATAGTCCATACAGAAGGTCCAATTTTCCACTTCTTTTTCCAGTATTTCGGCCTGAATTCCACCAGTAACACGTGTTATTTTGTCTTGTAAGGTCTCAATAGTGTTGGGCTTGTCCATATACACCAACGATTCCACGTAGCCCCACAAAAAACAATCCAAAGGCGTCAAGTTGCATGGTCTTGGTGGTCAATTTACAGGGCCAAAACGAGAGATAAATTGCTCACCAAATTCATTCCTTAAAATGTCCATTGTTTCTCATGCTATGTGGCACCACATTTCAACCAAGTTCAGATATTCCAATTTGGGCAATAGAAAGTTACGGATCATTGATCGATATTGTTCACCGTTGACGGTAGCGTTTCGTCTGAAGTTTTCAATAAAGAAAAGCGGCCCCATAATTCCACCAGCCCGTAAACCACACCAAACTGTTGTTTTTCTGGATGCATGGGCAATTCTTATATGGCATGTGGCTGCTCATCACACCAGATGCGGCAATTGTGCTAGTTAACATATCCGTTTAGCCAAAAGTGAGCCTCATCGCTGAACACAATTTTTCAACAAAACAACGGATCTTCTGCGAGCTGTTGCAAGGCCCATTCACTAAAAATTCGACGTTGTGGTACCTCGTTTGACTTCAAATGTTGCACAAGTTGAATTTTGCAAGCCTTCAAACCCAAATCGACACCTAAAATTTCTCAAGTTGTGGAGTAACACATTCCCAACTGTCGAGATCTGCGGCGAATAGATAATAAATAATAATAATAAAATAGATATTTCACGATCTTCATTAACACTGGTTGCTACCGATGCCATATTTTCTCTTCGGTACGCACTGTACGCATGCGAGTGATGGTTTAATGTCTGTTAAAGAAAAGTACGACATTTGGTAATAACACCTCTAATTGTGGTTTCACTAGGTGGATCATGACGACCATAAAATGACCGTAAGAGGCGAAACACATTTTTCACAGAGCACGAATTTTGGTAATAAATTTCTACGATTTGCATTCTTTGTTCGTTTGTAAGTCTTTCCATGAAGAAATGGCATAGTATACTGAATAATTTGACTTTGACAGGTTACGCTTGGACACCATTACATATCAGTGCTGCCAACTTGAAGACAAGGTTGTAAAAATCACCCTTTATATCTAGATCTATTTGACCACCATTTGATTTTTTGTCTCATAGAGGCGAAGTTGTGCCGAACATAATAATTTATGATGATGACAACGTTGCGTCGGAAGTGCAGATTAAACCTACTCGAACTTGACGCCATTTTTAAATTAAATAATTAAAAGTGCAATGACGGTGATTGCAACGCCGCATTTTTCGAGCGCTTCCTGGTGATATACAACTCATGGTTTGTTATTCTATTCGATAAGCAAGTTTAAGCGATCTACCAATCATAACCGGACGTGTCTAGTTTTAACTTTTTCATTCGTCAATGCGGTTTGAAACAACTATCAAATGATGACGTCACGCTCTGGCCCTCAGTGACGTTACTGTTACTGACAGTTAAGACCAATAACAATCTTGTACAGGTGATGGTTAATATGCAATCCTGAGTCTCAAAAGTCAACCCATGAATAAAACATAACCCTTTCCTTCCTTTCCTCTTGTGCCTTTTGTATGAGTTTTGTGTCGTTTGTGAAAAAAAAACATTATAGTGGATACCAAATAAAACCCGATGCACGTCATCGATCTGGAGCTGTGCGCTGTTGCCAGAATTTGCACATTTTCTTTTAAGCAAATAAATTTAATAAAATAAATTGTTTATATATACCTACCATTTACTATAATACCATTATATTAAAAATAAATAAACTTGTTGTAAAATTAAATTCCTTTCTGAATAAAAACACCTGTTTTTGGTAGATATTCAATGATATGAGCTCTTCACACCAACTGTTAAGTTGTTTTGGCATTTTGGATACTTTACACCACTTCACAGTAACTGTTGTTCTGAAAAGAACAACTTTTAATTGGCAATGCAGCGATTCAAAGCTCAAACAGCGCAAAACTCACAAACTAAACAATAAAGAACTAATAGTACGACAAAAGGACAATGGCAACTGCTGTCAACAAATGAGAAGTGGCAACCTCACATTTCTCTGCACGGCACTACCAACCGAATCGAGACGGGGAAATTTAAACTTCAAGTAGAAATATCACATTGAATGTAGTCAACTGTTGGTAACCATGATTTTTATTAATGACCTCACCTATGACGTGCATCGGATTTTATTTGGTATCCACTATAGATGACAATAGGAGTAGAGCTTATATGGAATCATCCATTGTTCTATTCGTAGACTTTAAAAAGTAATTACAGTATATTCAGATAAGAGATAGACCGGACATAAACAAGACCACGTGATCATCGAACGCTGTAACATTCGGCAGGGACGTATTAAGAGTCACGCAGTACATATTTTAGATAGTAGATGCTGCTTTGCGTAACTTTGTAGTAAATTAGCACAATTCGATGTGTATACGATTGGTGATGGATATAGGATCATGTGGGGGTGGGGTAAGAAATATATAATGATGTTAATATACATAAGGGTTTCAAAATTTTCGCTTCGATTTCCAGCTTCGGATGCCGCCTGATGTTTGGTGAAATACAGTCGAATATAATCTCAAAATGGCGTTTAAATTAGCCTAAATTAAAAATAATCGTATATCTCTTAAAATTGCTTTTAGAATATTGATTAGTATATTTTTTGATTTCTAGGTAAATATGTAACCAAATTAAAACGTTCAAAACGTAAAAAAATGTGCATGGTTGAATATTGTCAGAAAGTAGATTCTTGAATAGGTTTTGCCAAAATGGGTTCAAAAATGTCAATAATTAATTAAAAAATACAGTAGCTTTATAATTACTTATAACTTACCGAATTTGATGAACGACATCTTTTATTGGAAAGATGAGCTTGATGAGCTTTCATCATCGCTACTGCCTGAAGCACCAACGTCAATAATGAATGGCTCGACTTGTTCCTCTAAAATATTGTCCAGTTCCCACATTCTCTTTTCAACTTTGTCTTTCACGTGCTTAATACAGTTTTCCCATTTTTGCGCTGTTATTAATTCTAGTGCTTCTTTGAAAAGTCCTTTGAGGTCACAAAATTTAAAAGTTGTATTGTGCGTAGCTATATAATTTTTAACCTCTGCCCATATGAGCTCAATGGGATTGAGCTCGCAATGGTATGGAGGTAAACGGAGCACAGTTTTATTTTGACTTGCTGCCATTTCGTCAATGGCGTATTTTTGATATTCCGCCTTGTGATCCTTGACAATTCTTAATAATTGTACGTTCAGCATTGCTTCTTCAAAGTTGATATTTTTCGAGCGGAGCCAATTTTGAACATCAACTTTCCTTGAAGCCGTTGTTGGGACCTTCTCCATTCTTCGAGAATGATAAGGCGCATTATCCAACACAATTACTGCGTTTTCCTCTAAGTTCGGTAAAATTTTTGAAAACCACTGTTCAAATGATTCGCCATTCATTTCCACGTGGTAATCTCCAGTTTTCTTAGACTCAAAGCACCACAGACCGTCAACAACAAATCATCACATTCAGCGAAAAAACATTGAGACATGAGTATCAGATTGCTATAATTGGGATTATT